GCCTGACTCTCAGCCCGCAATTAGCCACTCCACACCACAAGACACACACTGGACTGACTGTGGTGCCCAAGTTATCCCGTCAGTTGGCAACCCTCCCTGCCATGGCTTTTAGCGCACAGATTGTTTATAGTGAGGAAAGAAATGGGCCGAGGGTCAACCTCAATCTCTTCCGCACAGCCGGCAACAGGCCACCGACTAACTGCTCGGTCGCCTGAGGTGAGCAGATCGATACAGCAGTAAGCTAACGTACAACCAGTAACCGATCTCTTTCGAAGCGTTAACCAAAATTGTGAAGCGCGTTTTTTGACTAAGAACGATTCCTTCAGGGAGATTTTGAGGTTTATTATCTTACAGGCTAGTCCTTAGATATTTCAGACACGCTAAATTAAAATAAACAGTTGGGTTGTATTCTTTTTATACTGATTTATAATGTCCTTACTAATTCAAATATATTTTATAGAAAAGGTGAGCAAATATATCCTGTTTTATACTACTTTTTTAGCAGATTACGTCTTCTCCAAACTTTTATAGTTAAAGGAACTGCGTTTTCTAATTTCTGAATAACAATTAGGCCGATCCACCGTTGCATTTGCTTATAGCCTTTTCAGTCTACAGACGGTGTGCCTTCCGTGGAAGGTTTACCTGTGAATCCTCCGTAATATGAGGTAGATACTCGTTAATAAACATTAAATATGCTTTATACTTTATTAAAAGCAGTAGAAATGGTCAAATACGATGCAATTTGAATGAAAATGGCAAGAAAATTGAAAATATCCTAATCAGAAATCATTTTAAAATCAAAGGAAAACGTGTCTTCGAAATGTGGAGAAGACATACAACCCCATTTAACTAATTTTTCCTTGCTGCATTCCAGAATATCAAATAGAAGATACTTAAATCTGTCACGGGCTGTAGGTTGCTATTTTTTTAGCATAGATGATATAGAGCATGACAGAGTACGATAAATGTGTAACACACAACACGGAAAACTCGGTTACTGAACGGTTGTTTTAGCTCTGTATTTCCAAAAAAATGTTCTGGTCGTTATGAGTAGGAACAACATGGCTGTTGTTAACTTCTTAAGTCAAACCGGTGAAATGTTAAGAGCGCCCAATGATTTCCTGTTGAACATGTGGAGGTACTCCGCGCTCCTGTTGGTGAGCAGTTTGACAGCAGCCTTTCGTTGACTTAGCTTATTTAAAATGTTTACTTATAACCTTTAAGTAGTTGTTGTTTATGAATATAATACAACACAAGGAAGGTAATCCGCCAGTTTGCAAGAAGCATGCTTAACCTAGTTATGACATACAAATCCAATCGAGGGCTACCACAGGATTTTTGTCCTGAGTATTATTGAATCATCTCGGTACAAATCCAGATAGTCGTTCCTGGATGTCATTAAACCGACGATTGGTACAGCTATCAACAAAGTGGCCCGGGTTCCTAAACGACTTCATTTTACCTTTGGAGTTGGCGTTTCGTACAAATAAAGTAGCAATAAGGTAATGATAACGAAAATATCAATTGCAGTACTTCCATCTGCTCGTCGAAACACAAGAAAAGATTGTCTATTTTCAATATTGATTCTTGTAGCCCCTTGCTAACTGTTTCAGGGTATGAGGAATGGAGACAGGTGACTGAAAATCAACACTGGATTGGCTGAAGCGGTTGATTTGAAATCAAAAATCACAATCCTTAAAAGTTTAGGAGGGAATAAGGAAGTGGGCTTCGCTACCTTATATATGTCAAGGATAAGTTATTACTGGTGTTTGATCTGCGTTAGACGATCACCTAGGAGGGCTCCAGACTCCTATAAGAATTTAAAACGTCGATAAAAAAAGAAGGAGTCCCAGTGATTGAATCGTTTTTCCCCTCTCCCTCTTACGCGTCTCAACAATATGGAGCTTTAGTGCTCTATTATGCTAGTAGAATTAACCTGTGAACGTCACATTTGTGCGCGAAGGTAAATGTGCACATGCAAAGTGAAATTAAATATCGACAGTATCCTACCTGGTATGCCGAAGCACCGCCCTCCATCTTCGTTGGAGCCTTACTCACTTCGCCAAAGTGGATGTAAAGAGTGGATTCTTTGAAGTCAAACTTAATTTTTGTCACAATTCCAGGTCTCGACGCAAGGGAGATCGTGCTACCCTTGTCCTTTAAAGTAAATGGAAAAGAAACAAACAGCAGTTTATATTGAAAGTGAACCCGGGGAGTAGACAGGGACTTCTCAGTTATACCCATCACTGCACAACTGTATCCTAAGCTGGTTAGAATGATTACATAAAACCCATATTTCGGTAGTCGCCGGCTATTAAGCCCATCTCGGGCCCAGACCAAATTGGGCTTAAT